AAAAACCAACCTGCTACAAATAACTGCAACAACACCTTCCGTTGGCGAGGTTTTGTTGTGGCCCTATGCTCCACTGGGAGTTTACAGGAATAATAAAAAAAACTCTTGCGCAGATTAACTCAACAAATACTAACATGACATTGTATTTTAAACGCTAACTGAAAGTTCTCGATAAGTTATTTTTTCACATGCTCGATGAGTTGTTATATAGAGTAATTTGTAAAATCATTTGACCGTATACACAACGTTTTTGTAACAAAGATTCCACTGTCGACATAGTAAGAAAAAACGAAGCCTCAATTGAACTTTGTTTTAAGAATAGAGGACAATCGTTGAAACTAATCAGTTTCATGTTAATCGAAATATCGCTTGTGCTTTTCCGTTGTAACAAGAAGAAAAAAATGGATGCAATAGTAGGAATACACATCGATTTGATAGGTTTTGGTGATTCGCCTTGAGCGAAGAACGTATACTAAACGAAGAAAAATAGATCCGATAAGCTTTGTAAATGCTACACTTTTCACTCTTTTCAATAAATCATGTTTCACCTAGTAAAATATATGTTTGTCATGAAAGTTAAAAATAACCAATGATGTCAAACTCTCTACGAAAGTACTCACCATCTCTAACATAAATCGTCCATTTTGTCAAGCCCCCTCCGCGTCTCAGCGATAAGTCTGAGGGTTCACGCCGCTGAAAACCGAGTTTCGATACTCCTAGTGCGCACAGCACAGATAGTCCATTGTATAGCTTTGTATTTAACAAACAAACAAACCTTCTTGTAATAACCTTCTTAAGCAAAATATTTCTGGTAATATTACTGTTTCCTTTTTTAGTTATTACAGTAAGTTAGTAATGTCTATTGCATTTAGTGAAGACAATTTTGTTTATATTCCTGTTAAAATTCTTATATAATACTGATTAAGGCAGCTTCGATCATTCAGTTTCCACTGCCACGCTGGCACTGTGTTATTGATAGTCTACTAATTAGTGATAACTTTGAGTCACGTGATCGAAAGTAGTCCGAGAGTGTTTTTAGATACGACGGAAAAGTCCGAGCGATGTTCCGACAGAGGTTCATGTACGTACTAAAACAATGGAATTTTGGAGTACACTCTCTGGTAATTGCGTCTGTCGCTATAAGTACTTTATATTTAATAGTTTCCATGAAAACACCTGGCTATCCTTTTAATTGCCCTCATGTTTCCTTTCTGTTTCAAGCGGTAACAATATGTTTCATACGATTACACGTGGAAATTCAGTATATCGAATTCGACTAATACACACAACTAATATTTCACTAAACATAAAACACGGCAAATAATGATTGTCAACCTGATGGTGTATCAAAAGCTCGTTTATGTTAAATGCAATTCAGTCACAATTATATGCAGTGTAGACGTAGTAGGACTGTAGTTTCCTGTAGAAATCTCCAAAATTCTCCTAAATTCTTGGCGTTTCGGAACCTCATGAATTGGAGCAGAAGCATTTCACAAGAAACTTCAAGAATCTAATGTGAAAATCAGTGCACTAGTTTTTACTTCATTTCAAAAAAATTATGTTAATCAGGACGTCTTTTCTTCCGAATATTAGGTAGAACACAGCAACATAACGTGAAAATAGCATATTTTAGTAACTTTAAGATGCACATTATTGATATATAAAATGACCAGTTATTTCTGTTTAAAGTGCTAACTGTAGACGTCTTTCTTCATCACTTACAGTAAGAATAAACTAATCTAAAAAGGATTAAAGTGTGTAATATTAGTCATGATAATTTCATGTGAATTTGGACAAAGCCCGTCATGGCCAGGTGGTTAGAGAGCTCGAATCGCAATCTGCGGGTCGCGGGTTCGAATCCCCGTTCCACCATACATGCTCGCCCTTTCAGGCGTACAGGCATTATAATGTGACGCTCATTCCCACTATTCGTTGGTAAAATAGTAGCCCAAGAGTTGGCGGTGGGTGGTGATGACTAGCTACCTTCTCTTTATTCCTTCACTGCTAAATTAGGGACGGCTAGCGCAGATAGTCCTCGTGTAGCTTTGCGCGAAATTCAAAACAAACAAGCATTTGGACAAATATTTAAAAAATATTGAGTGTGTACCTCAGTAGCTCAACGATAAGTCTGAAGGCTTATAATGCTAAAAACCGGGTTGCAGTATCCTTAGTGGGCACAACAGAGATAGCCCATAGTATAGCTTTGTGTTAACAACAAAATAAAGTATTCAATACTTGAAATACTAAGGATATAAAAAAATAGTATTCGTTTATTCTGGTTTAAATACGTTATATCTTAGCAAAATATACTAGAAGATTGTCCATCATAAAAAGCTCTAGGTATACTATGGCAAAAGGAAGTTGCTAATTGGACTTAAAACACTAAATAAATTTTGTTGTTTCCTTTTTTTCTTTTGGTAGAAGAAAATGTCCAATTTATTTATCTTAATCGTTTCAATAATACGAAAAAATATTAACCTACTCACAATAAACAAAGTGTTTTCTTAGATCATGGTTCAGGGTTGTTTTTATTTTTTGTGAATAGCTGTTTCAAATATATGGTTGATTATACGATAGGTAACAATAAAATGTTTCTAGATATTATAATATTGTTACGTTAATAAGTTAAATTATTGTTATTCATTTGTGAAAATATTTTAAATAATTTCTATGCCAGTGCTTTTTCTTTTGTAAGTTTTAATTTTTGTCACGATTAATATGCTTATTGTTTTTTTATTTTTCATTTTATAGTAGATTCTATTACTTAACTGATTTTTTTTCCAATGGTGTAAAGAGTTTTTCAACTAATTTTTCCCTTATTTGACATGAAGATTTTTTTTTGTGATAAATATGATACTCGCTCACAGATTAGCATTGAAACTATTCAAATGGTTTGAATGCTTTTCCAAAGCGAGCTTCCTCCCACCCGTTTTTTTTCTCATTCGAGCCGGATGTTACCAAGTGGTTACGTGTCGGGCTGCTGTTCGGAAGGTACAAGGTTCGTTACATGATGCTGGTGAACATGCTCCACACTTTCAGCTATGGGAGCGTTATAAAGTGACAGTAAATCCCATTATTCGGTTCATAGAGCAGGATAAAGCCCTTGTAATGACGAGTGCTGCTGGCTGTCTGTTTTCTCTCAGCACAAAAGCCTCAAAATTAGGGAAGGGTGCATATGAACCTTTAGGGTTTCAGACTTGGTTGTCTTGCTCCCGTGCGCATAATACGCTGTTGAGGTTGAAAACTCATAATTTCTTTCTTTGTCAGTACCAATAAAGGTAAAAGCCTGGAGACACTAATCACTTTACCGTTAACTTTGGCTTTAGACACAGAAAAGGATTCCTTTTTAAGAACGATTGGGCTTTTGAAAAATTTGTATAAAGTATTATAATAGCAAATATAAAACAATTAAATCATACTTTAGGTTAATAATGTAATTTCAGTTCAACTATTTTGTATATACGTATATGTGATTGAATGTGTATATATGCGTTTTGTATTATTTTGTGTTGAATCTTTTTATGTAACTCAGTTAGTCAAATCCTTTGAGTCTTTTTCTAAACTTTTTTGAGTTAACTCTGAAACTGTGTCATCTTAAAGTAACTGATGTGTTAAGTATGTTGATATCAGTGCGTTTTGTAAGATTAAAAAATCATTCAGACTTTTATACATGCTTTGCTTTTTTTTAATTTTAACTGGAAAAAGGAGTATGATTTAAATAATCAATCTGAATACCCCAAAGAGTAATTCTCTTGATAAAAAAAGAAAATTCAAATTTGTACAGTCATAATATAGTTAGGAAAACGATTCGTTTTCGAAGATATAGCTAGAGTGCTTTAGGCATCAGTCGCCCGCATACTCGTTTTTCTTTCTCTGCTCTCCTATCTCCTTGAAAGATATTTCTTCAACAATTTCTCCACCTTTCTTCTGATGTTTCCCATCCAACCTTGGCACCATTTTCACCAACTTCAGGTCTTTGGGAACATCCAGTGTCTACCAGATACAGATATCAATCGCCACAACAACTTCCAAACCTTCATACTTTCGTTGATGCTCTTGTTTAGGTGAGTTTAATAGTATGGGACGTCTGTAGAAGGTGAACCAACAAGATCGTCGTTGCATTTTTAACCATAGAATAACGTAATATTCCAACTGTTTGAAAATTATAACTCGACCCCTTTTGCTACTGAAACCAGCAATAAAATTCTAGAAACTTCCTTTCGAATGTCAATTAGTTAATTATTTCTATTGAAATGTAATTTCTGAAAATTCGGTTTTTGAATGTCAGCAATGAAGCCACTTACCAGAATGCAACGACGAAAAATTCTATATCTTTCTTCCATAAAAACAAAAAGTACAACAAAAATGTGAAACACTTAAACAACTCTCGCCTTTCCATTTTGTTAAATGGAGTTTGTTGGCAGAGGAATAACGCGAAAAACAACAACAAACAAACCTGAAGACCGCTATTGAGTTTTTCTCTTACCATTGTTTTTTCTCTATCATGCCTGTTGCTTGCCTGCTTGTATGTTTGTTTTAGTTCAATCCTCTCCAGTTTTACTCTCAACCTTCTGTTTGCTTGTATTGTACCAGTCGTGATTAGAATTAGCAACGTTGATAGATTAATAGACGTAGATTAGATGTGGCATAACATGCAGTAGCTGTACATAGATTATTATTATAATACTAGAACTAAGGAGTTTATTTATGTAATTGAACTAACTTTTCACCGTCCTTCCTTCCCCACAATTAGGTTTTTGGTAATATCGCCCTCAATCCTGAAACTTCCATAATGCGCCATAATAACTTCCGCAACTTCTTTCAAGGACTTATGCTTCTCTTCAGGCAAGTTCCTTCTTCATCTGGTCTGCCCTCCCTGCACGGCAACCGGTTTTTGGTTTTGGTTTTATAAGCTAGTGCAATTTAATTACATTCGTTTGCATTCCACTAAAATTGTGATACAGTTAATATTTTAAAATTTGATGCTAGTTAGAGCCATCTAATAGTCAGTATCTTTTCAGCTTTTATATTCAAAACCACTTTCTGCTATCCACGTGTTAGTTTGTGGACTGAATTAAAACGAATCTTTCACATACAGTGCTTTACATAGAACTTTTGTTGTCTGGTTTTCATAAGTTAGAAATCAACCTTTGCCTTTACTTAGACTTATTTTCCCCAAATAAAACATTAAGCACTTTCTTTGAAAATTTAAATAATAAAATTTATTCACTAGTATACCTTAACGTTCATTGGTCATTTTGTTTGAAATGCCGTAACCGTTAGATATATATATGTATATACTTCATATAATTGGATTAAATTTTTATTGTTTTGGTGTCACGCTTGATTTTATCCATAAAAGTATTTGTGTGTACAATACGTTTATATTTAGAAATACGTAAGTGCATATTGAAGCATACATGTGTGTGTCCAAGTTAAAATAATTTTGGTTTTAGTTAATGTTCACTCACGTTGTCGAATGTTAAGTTTTTGCACAGTAAAATATTTTCTTTTAAAATTTTCGTGACTGAATTTCAATATAGCATGAAGAGTAGGCACAAATGTTCAGACTTGCATGTTTTTACTTCTTTTGGTAATAATGTACACTGAGTAAATCTAAGGTTTAAAGCCCTGTTGATTTGAGCACCCGATACGAAAAACGGTGAAGATGCATGTGGATAAATAATGGCGTTTGAGAAATGATAAATACACGTGTTGCTATTACTTACTGTTCACTTGAAAATGCTCCCAAGTAGAAAGCATTGTTTGTGCTTCCATTTTTAACTGACTACACTGTTATAAAACTTTTACTGTAATGGAAAAGGCATTTTTGTGTTGTACTTGTCATTTTGTAGACAAATATGGTTGACTTCTAGATCAGGAAAAACTTTTGCTGTGGACTTATTAATTAAACTGTTATGGGATTATACCATTGAGATCTTCGTTTTAAATCAGTTTGATCTTTCTGTTAGTAAATAAGCCCCTGATGATAAGTCTGAGGGTTTATAAAGCTAAAAATCGGGTTTCGATACTCGCGGTGGACACAGCAAAAATAACCCATCGTGCAGCTTTGTCCTTAATAATAAGCAAAAACATATAAAACAAGCTTGTAAACATCATTCTAGCATGATACAAATGTATGACTAGCAACTAACATAAGCGTTATTTTTTCCTGACAATATAAGTCGACCATTGTTTCCTGTAATGTAAGTATTTAGTCACTCCTGTTATAATACTAAGGTTTGGTATATTGTTAACATTAACGTTCAGAAATATGTGGATAAAAACATTTCAATTTCTTTGAAACACACGACATGCACTTTGAATAAATACGATAAATTAAGTATGGGTGGAGATAAAAAGAGATTCAACGAGTAATGGAGAATCAAATATCAATGAAATAATTAAATATGTTTATATTTTTAGTCTGCTGTAAAAAAGCTCCGTATCCATATGCATTTTTTTTAATGATTGAAAGAAGTTACTAAATTTTCACAGTCGTTTGAATAATATATTTATAAACCTTGAACCCTTTAATCAAAGTAAACAGTGTCTATTTTTATTATGTTTCCTCTCCGAAAGCTAGGACAGTTATTTTTCTTTCTCTATTTCTCATAATAGTTTTATTTTCGTCTTCTTCTTACATCTGTTATATATATTTAGTCTCTTGTATCAAAATGTTCTTTTAGACAAAGTTTTTGTTTTATTTATTTGCTCCCAATAGTACCCAGGTTTAATTTTCTTATATTGTTTACACCCACCAGTAAGTCTCTCTTTAAAAGAAAAACGTATATAATTTAATCACCAACCATATTTACACTAGCATATTTTACCGTCACTCTCTATCTCGAAATTATTTTTTGAAATCACCAGTTGTAAATTATAATTGGAAAATATATCTTACCCATAGAGTGAGAATATGAATATTTTATGTTTGCAATATTGTAAATCATAATTTGAAAAAATATATTTACCATAGATTCTAATCAGTGTCTTAGGAATTCAAGATGGTCTAAATACCAAATACTTTCCTATTTGATAATAAACTATTTCTTATTGGTTGACATCTTTACTAATAGTTAAAAATAATATTAAAAAAAAGTTTAGTAATTAATAAGTTGTGTACATGATATTACATTATTTACTCATCTGATTATACGGGTTTACTAAAACACCCTGATCCACTCACATTCAGTTTAAAAGAATGAGAACGTTATTTTCCATTTCCACATGTTTATGGACAATAATGTCAAATTATTTAGATTTTCCTTGTATTTAATAAGGAATATTTTGCAGTAAATTTACATTCTTGGAGTATTATGATTAGTTGATTTCTGTACTTAAAAGAGTAAAGGAATTTACCAATGAGTAATGATGTATTTTATTAACTTGCAGGGAACTACGAGAAAGGAAAATGATCACACACTTGATGAAGACTGAGTTAACTTTAAATTACATTCCACGGATTTTCTAAACACTTTGCAACTTGAAAGATTGCGGATCTCTTAGTTAAATTTCACCAGCAGTTACTCAAACATTATACAAGTTGGCGTTCAGTAGAACAAAGCCACTCACTGTTTAGCAAGTACACTATAGTCGATTTGGCACAAATTGTTCTTCTTCCCAAAGCCTCTTTAAGATAAAACGAAATAATGATTATCTTAGACATTTCTTCTACAGAAGAATTACAGTAGCACTTATTGTAACTTTGATTCGCCGCCATCGAAAATTAAGTACTTTTATTTACCAACTAGACATCGTAATTAGAGGAACTATTTCTTTCATGTGGACCCTTCGTGGTTAGTGGTAAGATCCCGGATATACAATGCTTTAAATCCGGTGTTCGATTCTCAGCGATTAACAATGAGCGCAGATAGCCCATTGTTTAGCTTTTCGCTAAATAACCAACAACAACATCATTCATTTAACCAGTAAATTGAATAGAAATAACATTGCTTTCTTTATCCAAACGACTTAATGTAATTTATTTGATAAAGAAAGAGTTAGGTCGTTTTTCTTACTTTGATCAATCACAAATTATTAAGCCTTACGTCAACTTTAAATTAACTCATTAGTTATTCGTTTTGTTTTTAACTTGGTGAATTAATTAGTAGATATTTTGACATCAGGAATGTAGGTTTACACTTTATTAACTGCCAATATTAAAAGTAAGCCATCTTTCTTGACAAAAAAAAAGTACGAGTCATCACTTCATATGTCAAGCTACCCTCGCCAACAGGGCACAAGTATTATATATATTTATATATAACGTTCATAAGTAATGATTTATTTACCTAACAGTATCAGAAGTACATAATAAATATGATTTATTTGATTTTATTGCCATGTTAATTTCTAAGCAAAATAATTTGTGATTCGGCGTGTTTGTAATGTTAAGACGAACAAGACTTCTCCGTGACGACTATCACTACCAAAACTCTTACTGAGAAAAGTTATTTCCTATTAAATGACGGAGTTAAACATCATATTTCAACAAGATGCAGCTCTCTGTGTGTGTTTCTGTCGCTAATATCGCTGTCAAATTTATTTGATTTATTAAGAACTTTTTACATGATATTGCCTTATTATTTGTTAAACGCACCTCTTTCTCTAGGTGTGCAACCGGAGAAAACTGGCAAGCAATTATGTTGTCTTGTATCAAAGGACGACCCTGTGACCCTCGCTCCAGCAAGTCTGGAGACGAGTGTGGAAGCAACATTGCGTACATGTACTTCGTCAGTTTCATCTTTTTGTGCTCTTTTTTGGTGAGTTTTGTCAGTTTTCATCTTTTACTCTGTTGTTGATGAGTGTTTCTAAATGGCTTATGTTTTTCTGAAAGTAGAGGGCCGTTCGTGTCCTAGTGGTTGCAGATCAAAGAGCTTAGGGTTCGAATCGTGATGCCGCTACACACTTTTAGCTTTAAATGCGTGCAAAAATGAGAATCAATCCCGTTATTATTTTCAGAAAGCTGGACAAAGTCCTTGTTGCTGGCTGTCCATCTCTCTGACCAGTGCAGTTCAAAATTATGGACGGCTATACTTGAACCCTAAGAGTCTCTGATCTGGTTGTATACCCCACATGCGCATACAACGTCGTTCGAGTTCAAACTTTCAACTGACTAAAAATAAACAAATCGGTGTTTTTCTCGATATATTCTATGTGTAATAACGAACTATTCATTTCTGGTGAGTATTGAGGTACTTAGTTTTACTCCTCCCTCAATATTGCATATTATATTGAGTTTTAATCGCGTTATATTAGATGGACTCGTACATTAGCCATTCCTATCCCTTCTGGTAAAATAACGTGCTCGGTATTATTTTCCTATGTCTGTTTATGTTGAACATAGATTAATTGATGCCAATAAAGGTATATACGAATTTATGGGATACTAGAACTGAAATACATCCATAAATGTTTTCGTTGAGAAAAAATCAAGAATCTTGAAAAACTCGCATTTGTTGGCATCTTTATATATATTCTATTTAGGGAACTCTTTTTAAATGCCTCCCCCCCCCCAGTGGCACAGCAGCAAACAAGTTTTCGATACCCGTTGTGGGCAGAGCACATATAGCCCTTTGTATAGCTTTGTGCTTAATAACAAGCAACAACAGTGAGAATCATTTAGTTTTATCCTCGTAAGAAAGACAAAACGGCAACATCTAACTTTAATCGTTGTTTTTACACGTAACTTTATCTTCTGTTATACGTGCTGAAACTTAGAAAACAGTATGTTATTAATATATTAATTAATTCGTTTTTTAGTTAGTATTTGCTTTATTAGTGGGAGCGAATAATTAAATGAAAACAATCGGTAAACAAAAACAACCTGATGCTATTACTAATTTTAAAAAATAAAAGAAAGTAATGTGACATTGAATTTCAATGTTTAAACTTCACATTACGTAGCTTCTTTATACGAACATTCCCAGTAAGGCTTCAAGAAAATGTTTTAACAGTTTTGTCCAATCAAACTAACGTATACGCAGGTGTGAAACTACATCACAGAACGATTAATAACAGTTTCAATAATTTCATTTTTTACTTGATCAATACTGTTTTCCGGGGGGTGGGGAAGCATAGGAAAATACTTCACCTACATCTGGACACTACATCTGACAATGAATATGTCATACACTTGTAATTATTAAGATATAATTTGAAAATCATAAAAGCTTTGTTAGGGCCGCAAGTGATGGTTTTCTTCGGGAGTTTATATGATTTTAGGCATGTTTTCAAGACGTGGATTAAAAAAATAAGCCCTTAGTTAATATATATATATAATTTATTGTTTCCGTTGGTGTCTCTTGTGTCAATGGCTACAATACAAGTTCAAAACAATACAACCAATGTGGACTAACAAAACAGAACACAGATTTATTTGCTGACGCTGAATCTTTGTGTTGTTGTGAAGTAACGCTGTGTTAATTTGTAACACATTATTACAATATGTGTGGATGTCTATATATATATACGCACACAACATACACATTGGTCATATCTTTGATAACTCAAATCTCAAGTAAATTTATATTTTCTTATCAATTATGATCATTCAAATTATGACGTAAAATTGCAGACTTACATCAAGGATTCCCCTAATTTCGCTCATGCTTATCCCATACTAACCACTCTACTGACTAGGCAAGTAATTTTTCATCTTATTAGCGTGCCTGGACTGTAAGTCCAAGAGTTCGTGTTTCTTTGCCTCAAAAACACAGTCCGCAAGCTGAGGATATGGGTAAACTTTAAGAAGGACTGTCAGATCTCATTATGTGATCAGATAAGAATGATCCAAGAGTTAGCGGAGTGTTCCGTTATCAAGCTGCCTTCAGTCTAGACTATCAGTTCAAAATT